AATTCTGAAACCTTTTCAGGTAGGCAGAATTTAAGTGTAGAGAGGGAAGTTATCAGACCTGCAAACCCTCTTTTCTTTTTGCCAAACTTTCTACTGTGGGGAAATGGGAGTGGGGGGGGAATTATGTGGAGTTGGGTGATATGTAGCCATAACAACAACCTTCTTAGAAAGCCATGGTCATCTTGGTCTCTGCACCCGACCGGATCTGGATGGGAGGGATCTGTCTTCGGGGCAGTGGAAGACTGGACCATGTGATCCATGACATGAAGTGTGATAGAGGCTGTTTGTGTGTGTGTGTGTGTGACTTTGTATTGTGTGTGCTCCCAAGTCAGCTCCTTAGAAGCTGAAATGAGTCCCTGGCGTTTGGTTTCTGGGAGCGCCGGCCTCTGATAAGAGATGCCAGAAGGTGACTTTGCCATTGAACCAAAACAGGACACAGCCTCCTTTGGCACACGCCCATTTCGAAGTCAGAGCGCCATTGTCTTTGCACACCTTAAAGGAAGTGCATCTCTCCAATTGTGCTCTCTCTCTCTCTCCCTCTCTCTCTCCCCCACAATCTCAAAGCCGCTTTCATCAGAGCAACCTTGCTTAATGAAAGGAAAAGGAAGGCCCTCGTGATGCAATTGACTTTGCAAATCAGGAAGTCTCCTTTGAAGGACAGCCAGGGCGACAGATGAAGGGATTATTCCGTAGGCAAATCACCCGGGGAGGCCTTTCAACTTTGCCTCCCTTGTCAATTATTCAGACGGGGCCGACCTTGGCATCCTCTTCGGTGCTGGGCCTCCAATCTGCTTCTCTGGTGCTGCATTTTCCTTGTCCTCAAGAAATTGCAGGCCATTTCCCTTGACGGAGGTGTTGACAGCCGATGCTAAATGGGGAGCAGTGAATCCTAATAACCCTTTGCCATTTGTAGGCATCGTGGCAGTATGTTTCGTGAAAAGGTCCGTGCCATTCTTTTTCTTCTCAGTCATCAGAGCCTTTTTGCACACAGGAATAAAAAGCCTGAACCATCCCCTCCCTCCCTCCCTCAGTACTCTTCCCGTCCTCTGCAGCTGGCCACGTCACTATAATCCACGTACATAACGTGTCACAGGCGGTAACTCCGGGGACCACGCCGGCTGCCTTCTCTGCAGATTGCAAAAACACGCGGAAACGGACCGAAGGCAGGCAGCGAAAACCCACCCCGCTCTCTCCTTGAGAAATCAGCCGCTTCCCCTTCTCTTTTTTTGCGTGCCTTCATAAGTCATCCCAGAGGCTTCAGGTCAGCCGAGGGGCAGAGCAGAGATTCTCACGGGGTCCTCGTTTGAGGCTCGGCTTTTGAGTTCCAAGCTCAGTACATGCGTAGGGAAGAAGGGAGGGAGGGAGAAAGGAGAGATGGGAAGGAAGAATAGATAAGAAGGAAAGAAGGCAGGAGCGATGAGAAGGGAAGGAAGGAAGGAAGGAAGGAGCGATGAGAAGGAAGGCAGGAGAGATGAGAAGGGAAGGAAGGAAGGAAGGAAGGCAGGCAGGAGAGATGAGAAGGAAAGGAAGGAAGGAAGGAGGGAAGAAGGCAGGAGCGATGAGAAGGGAAGGAAGGAAGGCAGGCAGGAGAGATGAGAAGGAAAGGAAGGCAGGAAGGCAGGCAGGAGCAATGAGAAGGAATGGAAGGAAGGAAGGAACGATGAGAAGGGAGGCAGGAGAGATGAGAAGGGAAGGAAGGAAGGCAGGAGAGATGAGAAGGGAAGGAAGGAAGGAAGGAAGGCAGGCAGGAGAGATGAGAAGGAAAGGAAGGAAGGAAGGAGGGAAGAAGGCAGGAGCGATGAGAAGGGAAGGAAGGAAGGCAGGCAGGAGAGATGAGAAGGAAAGGAAGGCAGGAAGGCAGGCAGGAGCAATGAGAAGGAATGGAAGGAAGGAAGGAACGATGAGAAGGGAGGCAGGAGAGATGAGAAGGGAAGGAAGGAAGGCAGGAGAGATGAGAAGGGAAGGAAGGAGTGATGAGAAGGAAGGCAGGAGAGATATGAGAAGGGAAGGAAGGAAGGAAGGAGCGATGAGAAGGAAGGCAGGAGAGATA